TTCCCGGTGATGCCGACTTACGGCACTGACCCACGCTGATACTGTTTCTGTTTTAAACTCCCCCATGCAAGCTGTTTCACCATCTGTTACGAGAGCACACATCGCTTTGGTGAAAGGCCCGTGCACTTTACCCTGTCATGGCCTCGATGCACCACTGACATCCCATAATCGCCCGAACGTGCTGCCTTAACTGGGAGAAGCTCATGGGAGATGTGGAGCCTGTGACGGGCTTTTGGAGCTGGAAGCAGGAAGTTGATCTGTGTTACTTGTGCTGGGGCCTTTGGGACAACAGGAAGTAATTACTGCCCCCTGCTGGTGTGTGGAGGTCTCTGCAGCTCACTGTCCTAGCTGAGCTGCAGGCCGCTTCGGTGCCCCTTTGTAACACCACAGTTCCTGGTATCTTCATATAAACTGGGTTATTTCTAGCTATTTTGGGTTTTGGAAAAAAAGCTGATTTTTTCATCCTGTCTATAACACAAGCTGCGCAAAATACTTTTAGATTTACTGGGACACATATTGTGTAGTTCTAAAATCGTAATCCATCCACCCATGCTCCACACTGTTCATCCAGTACATAGCTAAGGTGTAACTTAAAAAAAATAATGAAGTGATTAGCATTTTGCTGCTCACTGCGACAGGATCCTTCTTTACAATGAGAAGAAAGAGACCCAGAGCAGAGCAGCTCTCTGAATGCTGGTGGAAAACCCCTCCCCCTTCACCCTAAAGAGGGGTAGTGCCTGTGTGGATTGCTGACACCCCCCCCCCCCCCAATTCCGCATCCTTTGTCTCGGAGACAGAGTCTGCTGGCAGGGTCAGGCACATCCCAAGGCTGGGGAGAGAGGCGGCCGCCAAACGTGGGAGAATGCACGCTGCATTGTGTTCCCGCTGAAGCCCACTTAAGTACCCCCCTGTAGCACCGCCAAGGGGCTGGGTGCATCAACTGCATGATAAAACAGGAAAGAGCGACAATCCAGTCATTTGAGCATTCAAACACGGGCCGTAAACATCAGCTAACACGGACTGTCCTCGTTTGTCGCTTGAGTGCCGCGAAGAGGCCCGGCTGATCGATAGTGACAAGCGTTCTAACTGGATGAAAAAGCCGCCACTCAAAGGCAGGAAGGCTCTGAATGGCCGAGGGCCGCTTACAGGGGGGCGTGCAGGACCAAGGGGCTCTCAGAGTCCTATTCAGATACACCGTGTGAATGCAAATTATTTCTCCTTCATCGCCTTTTAAAAGCGCCGGCAAACCCATTTCAGACAGGGACCCCCAGACTGGGCTATTCTGAGTGAGGAATCTAGTTAACTGTGTCGACATACACCCAAGTCGCGTCTAAAAACAGATCTGAAACCCGTTTTGATATGAAAAGTGAGTAAATGAACGTTTACGAACATGCTGCCATCTGTCGCCGTACTGTGGGTCTGGGGTCTGTCCCGGGAAGAGCGGGGCAGGGGACGGAGTGTATATCTTAGGTCACATAGTCACGCTAGTGGATTTAGGCTAACACGCTCACCGCTAATTGTCTTCCGATTCCCAGAGACGGGAACGGGAAGCATGAAAGGAGAAGCGCGGAGATGCTGGGGAACGCTGCCTTTCAGAGACGATTGGGCAGCGTGCCGCCCAGGGGCCGGGTGAGAATTCAGGTTTTCATATGCAAAGTTCTGCAAACAACTCAAAGAAAGCCGACAAGAGTCAAAGTCAGACAAAAGTCAAACATCCACATTGTAAATCCGCGCCATCGTGCTCATCATTTTGTTCTCATGAGAAATTAGTCTTTAACTTAGCTTCCGAAGTTGAATGAAGTTTAGGGAAAGAGTACAAGAAACAGGGAAAAAAGACATTCTGCTCTTTATCTGTTAATGAGTGTGGCATGCAGGCCCAGACAGGCCAAAGAGCAATCCAACTGATAAAATACTCACTGGTAAGATAAACTGTTTCTACATTTCACCTGTAAATTTACCACAGAAAGACTTTCAGCCTCAGTACAATTTAGTCTTATTCCTTATAATCATGCTATTCATTATTACTGTCTTTCTGGACATAATAATCAGAATTATCATCATTTCACAAGTAACAGGACAAATACCACGTGGTGAAAAAACCCCTTAAAACACATGCTGTCATGTGACACTGTCATGTGACACTGTCATGTGACACTGTCATGTGACACTGTCATGTGACACTGTCATGTGACACTGTCATGTGACACTGTCATGTGACTGACCCATCCCTGCCCACGGCCTCCCGTCTTGCAGGGGATGGTATCCAGGATGCTGCATGCTGGATGCTGGTTTACTGGCCAGTATGTCCTGGCATCCAGGATCAGTGTACATCCCAGATTACAACAGAACAAGCACCATCTTCCACTGCAGTGCCATCGAACAGCCTCAGAGAACGCAAAATAATAATCATTAAAACAGCAATCTCATACACAGCAGCAAAATAAGACAGTGAATTTAATCTCCCGTCAGTTGTGTTGAGGTTTGTGGTCACCACCACAAACATCACATGGATGTGGTGTGGCTACCCACAATGCCCCTGAAGCATGTCCCCCGCAGGACCAGCAGCTGCGTTTACCGGCCGTCCCCACAGGTGCTCTCAGATCTGGCCTTCATCCATCACAACGCATCTCAGAAACAAGGTCAGCGCTGCGCTTCAGAAGCTCGTCTCTCACTTATAAATGACAACCAGCTGCTCAGAGGCAGACCAGGCAACACACCAGCGGCCAAGGCCCGGCCCAAAGCATAGCGGGCGTCATTTGGATGACGAAGAACTTCAGTGAGAGTCAAAATCACCGACAGTGCTACGATAAAATCTACGATTTTAGGCAGCATTCCAGATCCAATTGCGTTTCTGAACTGACTTGGATATGTTGACTTTAAATCATGGCCTTGACTGTGACTTAAATAACTACAGCTTCTTGGGCGTGACCCCGCAACTAATAAATCACACTTAGCCCTGGTCTCGGCCTGCCCCTTTGTCGGGGGATTTATTAGAGTATAGGCTTCGCTCTCCCATTCGCGCTGGCATCTCAGAGCGCAGCACGCCTTGTGAGGTCCCTCACAGGAGAAGGCTGACATTCTCTGCTAAGCGTCACGCTTGTGCAGCTCTCGGTTTCCGCCGTATTAGAGAGGCCATTGTCAGCTAGCTTGCCTTCCCGGTGAGGCAGACCTGCTAGATCGGGGACAGAAGGTGACCTGCCTTCCAGACCCCAGCACATGACATGTGGCCCTGGATGGCAGCTCACTGCTAAGCCCTCTTTGTTTCACACTCCATCTTGCCATCTAGAAGGATGGGGTCTGTCTGACCCCAAGCACGAAATAACGACGGTATTGCGAAAAGGAGTAATTACACCATAGTATGGGGAAAAGTACATATAGGAAAGTTTAGAATCTGCCTTGTCTTAACTATAACTATTATAACTATATAACTACTATAAAATAACAATAATTAACTATAAAATGGTGAGAAATTGATAAAGAAAATATTTCAGAAGGCAGAAACCAAATATAATTTCCAGAGAATTAGAAAGAGGGGCTGCAAATCAGTAATAAAATGTTGTCTTATAGTTATGACATTAAGATAATAACGAAATCAGACTGCCCTTGGAAACAGTGGGTGTGCTCAGGAGAGATTTACAGCCGTGGTAAAACACCTAAGCTTACAACTCCGGAAATATTCTCATTGGTAAATCATTTAGACAAGAAACTCTGTGTATTTAATGGAATGCAGTGATTTTCCCAAATCTTTCCTAACAAAAAAAAACAGCCATCAAAGGTGGTCATTGGGGGGCCCTGTGAGAAAAGGCCGGGGTCTCCTTGTCCCCCCCGTCAGCGAGATGTGCAAGCCCCCAGCCAGTGACACTCTATTGATGATTAATACGAACGACAAGGAAAATATTAAAATGAGAGGAATTGTGATTCCGTTAAACTTCCCTGCTCATTGCGCAACACACACACACACTCATCATCCAGCTGGCAGAACATACAAAGATAGGCAATGACTGAAGGCAGTAATGCACAACAGCAAGAAGGACAGCGATGCACACGCACAACAGCAACAAGGACAGCCATGCACACGCACAACAGCACAAAAGGACAGCGATGTACATGTGCAACAGCACAGAAGGACAGCGATGCACACGTGCAACAGCACAGAAGGACAGCGATGCACACACATACAGCACACAAGGACAGCGATGCACACGCGCAACAGCACAGAAGGACAGCGATGCACACGCGCAACAGCACACAAGGACAGCGATGCACACGTGCAACAGCACACAAGGACAGCGATGGACGTACACAATAGCAGGAGTGGAGAGGTTAAAAAGGCATTAAACCCCAGACACCTCTTCCGGGCTGACAGTGAGGGTTCCCGTGTGTCAGACACCCCTCATCTGCTAACGTTGCAACGAGTGACGCCTCCACCACCGGGTGCCAATCAGTCCTGACCTCCCATGGTCATGTGTTTGCCCAAATGCTGCAGAACACCCTCCCCAAGGTGCCAAACTAGTGTATGCCCTCAGTAGGGGTGTGGAGCTAATGGGCTTGCCATGCATCTGTCCCGTCACACCGAGGTACCAAAAAGCAAGAGCATTACTCTGAATAAATCCACCGATTCCCCTTCTTTCAGCTCAGAACATGAGCTCATTTCCTTTGTCTCCATGTAAAAATCTGGTCCCCAGAGCAGAAGCCATCCTACAGCCTGTATTTCTGAGGGGAACCGCAGCCAAAATCCTCCGCGGCCCTCTTCAGTCAAACAGACCAAAGTCAGTGCAGAGCAGGTAGAGTATGTCCCAGCTGAACCCCAAAGCTCCCCCTGAAGCTGTCATAAGAGGGACAGAAAGATCTCGACAAGCCCTCTGGGGCATTTCCAGAGACCTGCTGACGATTTATCTTTCAAGAATGCAACATAACAAAAAAAATAAGTACTAAATGTGATTTTCCGTGCTGCACTGCGAATTCCCAACTGAGAGGGTTCCCAGGAAGCCATGTCCTACCTCTGGATGTCCAGGCCAGTCTTCTGCAGCACTTGGCTTCTCTATCAGTCCTCTTGCAGGAACTTCAATACCTATGAAACAGGTACATAACATGCTTTGAATCAAGCATGAAGGTTCACTATTCTCAGGTAGAATTGGACTAATGTAATTTCATTAAATGTTATTTGGTCCATTTTTCAAGCAGCCAGCCACTACTGCCTTCAGAATAACCTTTATGAAGTTCACATAAAAAATTGGTACTTTGTTTGTATGATCTATCTCAAGACAGTGCTATCCCTCTCAAGAAATCCCCCATGACATCACACAGTCCTAAAGTGCTTTTTAGCCTGACCACATTGAACTTGCTGACTGGCTTCTGGTAATAAAGCAGTCCTGGGAAGACCAGCTGTGACACTCACTTACTCACTCACTTACTCACTCACTTAAGGCCTGGAGGAAGCCTCCTGAGACACCAGACGTCCCGCCACTCAGTGACACGCCCACGGCCTCTGAGGCACCATTTGTGACGTCTGTGGTCAGAGGTCCTGGGTGTTTCTGCATGTCTTCACATGTGGGGGTAGCAGCAATTATGGCAAAGACCAGTGTCACAGGGTTCCACTATGATCTCCTGTGGGGGTTAGATGTCACGCCCTCCCTGCTGAAGTTGGTTCTTCTCTGACAGAGGCTTTGTTGTCTGCCTAACTATAGTTAGTTGCCGGCCTCAAATGGTGATGACTACGGCAACGTCCAGCACAATAATGCTGATTGATGCGATGATGGTGTTTTTCAAATTCGAATTTAATGCAATTTAAAGAAATATAGAATCAACCATAAGATATGAAGAACCTCAACATGTTTCTGTAATTTTAATTCACCCAGTATGGCACATATAAGTATGGCGCAGATTATGCAAGTAACCCCCTATTGTACTGTTATGGTCTGCAGCTGTCCAAAGGAATCCTGCTCAATGTGGGAGGGAATGACAATCAATGGAAAGGTGCTATAAAACCTGACAAAACAACGTTGAAGAAAAAACAGGACAATGTGCGACTCAGTAAATTAAACCTGTGTCTATGATCAAAAGGTTGCAGGTTCAAATCCTGTCCTTGGTACCATAGTCACATGTCCATTGGACTCCAGGCCCTGTGTGTTCTGACACATTATTTCCATGATCATCATCAAAATTATCACAGCAGACAGGACAGCTCTGGTTCAGATCCTACATCTGCGTGTCCTGGCCATGCAACATTCTGTCTGCAGTTCATGGTTTTACCCTCCTTGGTCCACTCTCATTAGGTACTCGGCATGGCTGACCATCAGTCATCTGGCCATAATCATCTGGCTCTTGCCAAAGTCTTGCTTATATCTTTATCCTTGGCCATTTCTTCTGCATTGAGCATGTTGACTATGAGTACAGAATGTCAGCTTCCCGTCTAATATATCCCAAAGCTTGACAGCACAGTTTCTACTAGACAGTCAACATTATTTCCTTCACATGGGGCATCACGTGGTCTGGCTTCTCAGTGCACGAGGGTGTAGGTCTCAAAGGAGAGAAGATGGCGTATGCGATAAGAAGCACTCCAGTGTAGCTGTGCAAATGGTGAATAAAGCTTTGTCTGGGTTGTGTCGCTCTTCAGTGTGAAGCCTCTGGGTCTGACTGCGGTGCTCCGAGCACCGTGACCAGGCTAAGCTCTGCGGCCGATGACCAGCTCTGCGTGGCTTCAGGCCAGCCAGATGACAAACCATAAGACACCCATTTCAGTCACACAGCTCCCAGCCGCACCACGATTTGCAGGAAGCCCTTGTCAGCACACAAAGAAAAGAAGCGCCCACCATATGAACATCAGCAGGCTGCAGGATGTCTGAGATTATTTTTTTCTTTTAATCTATCTTTTAATTTATCAAAATTCTGCTTAACTATAGTACACCCAAGGCAGTAACAAGGTCACTGTACCTCTAACCTGGAAGATTAAACAGAACTAACCTACATTCTCAGTCTACAGTTGACTGCTGGAAATGGCAAAGCTGTTCTCTGTGTTTGAAAACATTGAAGATCAATAGCAATTTAACTATGTTAAAAGGAAAGTACCCACAGCCGTATTTCACGTCCTGCTCCCAATCAACGGTTTAAATATAGAAAACTATCCCATTTCCCACCCAGAAAGATTATACAAGATTTACTTTGGCTGATCGCATAAACCCCGTGACCCCGATAAGCTTTACAGAAATAAATCACAGATTAAAAATCTCAATGAAAACATTTTGCATAAGTCAGTGGGTTAAGATTATTGAAAACTGCAAGTAATTACCCTGATTAAAATTACACAGCTCTGTGTGTGTTGGGGTATGTTTAAATGCATTACTAAAAGTACTGAAAATACAGTGGTACCTTGGAATACAAACTTAACTCGTTGCAGAAGTCTGGTCGATCTGCAATTTGCGATCTGCTCATGGTCCAACTTGAATTTCCCCATAACAAAATATTTAAATGAATTTAAACCATTCCAGACCCTCAAATTACTGCTTATTTAAAGGTATCTATACCCACCTAGCTAATGATAAAAGCTCCACAGCGAGAGCAGAAACACGTGCACCACCTTCAAGTCTCGCTATAATTTCCTTTTTAAGTTCTACAGTTACTCTCACTACTTTCCTCTTTGGTTTGCTGCTATTACTGCTCACTTTTTTAGGGGCCATAATTACAGTATCACTAAATGTACTGTAGGTGAAGCAGCACAGCTTCTGCACGTTGAACTTGGTCGTGAGGCACCACGACATTGAGAGCAATTCATGGGCATCAGCATCCCAGTAGGTCTGTTTGCAATTATTGTTCTCTATCTGTACAAGTTTTAGCAGGAACAGTCAGGTTCTAAGATTTCAGTCAAGTTACAAGTCGGAAAAAAAATTGAGACCCGTTTGATGTCCAAGTTGGTCAAGTTAAGAGGCGTTTAAGTTCCAAGGTTCTACTGTAATTTCTTTGGAAAAGAATTTACTTGCAATTTGTAGGACTGTATGTCACTAGGGACTGTCTGATGAAAAATAAGCTTAAACCTGGAATAAAACACAGGTGAAGCAGAGTTTGCTGGTCAGAAGCCACATTGTTTATGCTGTTGTGTAAAATAATTCATTTCCATACATATGTACAGCACAAAAATGCATGTCAGTCTTAAATGTCACACCATCCATCTCCCCGTCAGGAAGAGCACAGCCGCGTGGACACACACTGTGAGTTTATGCTTGGCAGATATGTAAACAGCAAGTTTTTCATACCATACATAAAGTTATAGTTTCATTCAGCCACTATAGCACCCCCTGCAGGGAGGGCGGAGTCAATGCTGTTTGCAAGGTACCGGGGGGATTTAAAAGGACACAAAGACTTCTGTGAGGTCCCGAATTACTGAAGCACAGCATGGTGCTTCACCATGACAAATGGGACCATCGAGACTGGCAATGATGGTGACGACTGGGAGAGGGGCGCGCAAGATATAAAGAATCATTTCTGTTTGGGATAGGGGGCCAGTTTACCATCCACATTCCATCATGCTGATATTTTTCATTAGCATTGTAAGAAAGCCTCATTATAAAATAAACATCACAATCACAGACTAATCATTGAACCTGATGGAAACACCATGACATGTGCAATATGGGTTAATCCATCTCAAATTTAAGAAAAACTTGTAGTTTTCGCATCTTGTATATGTGAAGCTGTTTCTGAAATATCAGCCCCCCACCATTAAAAAAGTCACATTTATTTTAAGAAAATGAAGCACCCAGCATTTTATGTTAAACTTCAGCTACATTGCTGAGAGTCCAAACGCTTATAGTCATATTGCACATCACCTTATGCGTCACCACTTGCCACTTTTTTGTATTTTGTATATGTTGGATATTTTGTTAATTTTTTATTCTTATTGTCCGCACTTTATATTTATATTATCTTATCTGCACTTTTTTTTTTTTTTTTTTACTCTTTCTCTTTTTGTCTTTGGATCGGTCAGGGTTCATTTCACTGCATGTTGTACTTGTTATAACTATGTATGTGACAAATAAAGAATCTTGAATCTTGAATCTTGATATAACCAGATGTTTACTCTATAAAATTTGAAGGATCTAGTGGAAGCATTTAATCAATCTAGATATTGCAGTTTTTAAATGGCCTCTCAACACATGACGCTAGAAAGGCCTAAACACACCTCAGCCCCATCCCTTGAAAAAACCTTTTGCAAAAACTAATGACAGTAGAGACCTAAAATTTTGTACTTTTCCCATTAGGAAATAAATCTTCCCCCTGAAATTTTTTTAGGCAAATCTGAGTTGGTCAGGTGGGAGGCGTTTGATGGACTGACATGGGCTGACATGGACTGACATGGGCTGACATGGACTGACATGGGCTGACATGGGCTGACATGGACTGACATGGGCTGACATGGGCTGACCCATATGGATCCTCCTTGTAATAGTGTGACTAGTGTGAATAGCAGTGCAAAAACCAAGAACATTACCGGATGAAAAATTCATACCGTTTATGTAATAAAAAAAGCAGCAGCGACAACATGAACTGAGAGGTTAACAGGAGAAGACAGTCACTGTCTGAATCATGTCTGGCAGTAATTCTGCTAAACCAGGACCGGTTGTTCAGATATAAATATATGCAAAGATCTATTAGAGAGAGGAAGCTTGCAGCTCTACAGCAGTGTGTCTGTCTGGATGCAGCAGGGGGGGAAATGCAAATGGAAGGTGTTTGTTTTTACCTTTATAGCCTTGATCACACCCACTCTGCAGTTAGGGCTGAAATGCGAATGGTAGGTATACGTTTTTACCTTCATAGCCTCG